CCCGGCGCCAAGGGTACCCCCCCCCCCTCCTCCTGGCTGCCAGTCTTCCTAAGAGACTGACTCGCCAAGGGCTGGTTTGGATCTGGTCTCTTTTGGGGGGGGGGAAGAAAAAAACAACAGAAGCCCCTTTCCCCCCAGGAGGAACACGCCCCCCCCTTTACGCCCCCCTTCTTTGCCAGCAGCGACAAGCCGGAGAGGTGCTGGGACTTTGTAGGAGGGGCACGGTGGCGGGGGGGGGGAGATGCTCCCTCCTGGGCCCACCCCACAAATCATTTGGGGTGGTCCTGAAGCAGAAGCCCCTGCTGGCATTTGACGGTGCCTCCTCTCTGGGGAAGCTGCTTGGAGCCAGGACTTCTTCTTCGGGGCCCGCCGATCTGGTTTCCTCATCAGGTGGGTCTCGGGAGACCATCCTGGAAGAGGCCGAAGAGCTCTGCCCTTCGAGTCGGGCACCGAGGGGCGAGGCGGGTGCTCGGGCCCAGAGCAAAACGGGTCTCTCCTTCACCCTTCACCAGCTCTGGGAATAGGATGCTCTTTGGGCACAGGTGTGGGTGTGCGTGGGGAGGGGGATTTGCCGAGCGGCTCCTAAATTGTCTCCCTCTTTCCCAACAGGACGCTTGTGTGGCTCTTCCTGGCCGTCTTCTCTTCCCTCCGCCCCCCCCTCCCAGATGTGTCAAGACCCCAAGGCCTTCTGGAAGTTGTGGGTTTCCCACCGGTGCACTCAGATCGTCCCCCCTCCCCTCTGAAGACCCGGCAAGGTTAAGGGGGGGATGGCCCCGCTCCACATCCCGGGGAGAATCCTTCCTCTGTCCCGGCAGCCGTCTGGACCGCCTCTGTCTCCTTGCAAGAGGACTTCCGCGCCACGGGGATTCTTCTGCCAACGGAGCTGCTGTTAAGCCAAGTGGGGAGGGAGAGGCGGGAAGGGGAGCGCGCTTTTCCCACGGAGAAGAATGCCAGGAATGGCTTGCTGCCTTTTAGCCTTTTGCTGATTTATTACCGTCATTTTTAAAATTTTATTCTTTTGCTGGAAGAATTTGGGCTCCGGCAGCGGTCCGGGAAAGTGGAAGGAGGCCTTTGTGCCGGTCGTCTGCTCAGCCTCCGAGAGAGAAAAACCCGCCAAGCCTGTCTCCTCCCTTCCTCTCCCTGGACGGACGCTAATTTTTTTGTCCGCGGGACGGAATGCCTCTTTCCTTCGGCCCGTTTTGTCACTCCCCCCTTTCCCCGGTCATTCTCCATTTCTCTTTTCCTCTCTGCCGCTGCTTCCCCTCCTCCTTTCCCACCACCGGGACTGTCGGCCTCCAGGCGCAACAGCCCACTCCCCTTTCTTCCCTCCCCCTTGGCCGTGCGGTTCCTACTTGCTTTCTCCCTCCCCCTCCCCCTGGCCTTCCCTTTAGCCCTGTGCTCCCTCTCTCCCTGGCTTCCCACCCCTCTCCTCTGGCCTTTCCCCTTTCCTGCCTTGATCTTCTCTGGTCCCTCCGCTGCTCTTCTCTTGGCCCCGCCTCCCTCCTCCTTGGTCACCTCCCTTAAATTCTCCGCCACTTCCCTACATCCCTTCCCTCGCTCCGCCATCCCTCCCGCCTCCCTCTCCTCTCTGCCCCTGGGGTGGTCTGGCAAAGTGCTTCCTTCCCCCCCCTCCCTCCCTCGGCCACGATGGCTCTGGTGGTGGCCCCCTGGCAGGAGGAGCTGCCCGGGGCTCCCCTGGGGCTCCCGCTTCCCCCTCCTCCGCCGCCTCCTGCCCCCGGCGCCCTGGAATCCGGGGGAGCCCTGGCTGGGAGCGAGAGCAAGGCCTCGGCAGGGGCGGCGGCGGCCATGGACTGCCTGGTGTGCGGGGACAAGGCCAGCGGGAAGCACTACGGGCAGTTCACCTGTGAGGGCTGCAAGAGCTTCTTCAAGCGCTCCGTGCGCCGCAACCTGAGCTACACCTGCCGGGCCAGCCGGCAGTGCCCCGTCGACCAGCACCACCGCAACCAGTGCCAGCACTGCCGCCTCACCAAGTGCCTCAAGGTCGGCATGCGCCGCGAAGGTGGGTGGCCCTCGAGCCCCGGAGACCCTAACCCTGCCCCGCCCGCTCCCCCCTTCCGCCCTCTCACCTGCCTTCCTTCCCCTCCCCCTCCAAGGGGGAGGCTCTTTCTGCGTGTCTCTTTGGTGTCGTGGTTAATTTCTAGGAGAACCGGGTTTGATTCCCCACTCCTTCACTTGCAGCTGCTGGATGACCTTGGGCAAGCCGTAGTTCTGACAAGAGCTGTTCTTGAAAAAGAGCTCTCAGCCCTACCTACCTCACAGGGTGTCTGTTGTGGGGAGGGGAAGGGAAAGGAGTTTGTGAGCCGCTCTGAGACACCTTTGGGTCGTGAAGGGCCATGGGGTATAAATCCAATCTCTTCTTCTTCTTCTGTTCCCTACTCTCTCAGAACGTGAGGCTACTCACATGCATTAGCATAAATTAGCCAGTTTGGTGTGGTGGTGAAGTGCGCGGACTCTAATCTGGGAGAGCCGGGTTTGATTCCCCACTCCTCCACTCGCACCTGCTGGATGACCTTGGGCAAGCCGTAGTTCTGACAAGAGCTCCATTTCCTTTCCGGGCCATAGGCTGTCTGCAGAATGTATTTTGAACGTAACAGTGCTCTTCAGACTTGCAGTATCAGAGTTACAGGTGCTTCTTCTGATGCTGTTCTCTGTTCTGTACAGCAGGGATAGGCTGGGAATCCTAAAAAGGTCTTGGAAGAATCTTCCACAGGGGTCCCAGGTAATGGGGCAGAGCCTAGGTGGCCATAGATACCATGGTGTGGGTCCCAGCTGCAATGCTCCCTCTGAGCTGTGGCGACTCCTGTGAGCAAAAATCCTACTTTCTGAGCTACGGGCATTAAAGTGGTGAGCGAGCGATTTGGTCGCTGCATAAATTAATCTGCTCTGGAGCCCTCCTTCCTGAGCGAAGGCACAAAATGTGTGAGCCGGAGGCTAAAAAAACTGTGAGCCGGCTCGCGTTAACTCAGCTGAGAGGGAACACTGGACGCAACGCTCCCTCTCAGCTGGGGAGTCCTGTGAACAAAAAATCTACTTTGTGAGCTGCTGGCATTAAAGCTGTGAGCGAGCGATTTGGCTGCTGCATAAATTACACAGACGAAGGCAAGAAGAGGGGGTTCCTCCTGGCCTCCTGCGGCACCGCGGTGGTGTCCCTGACTGGACGGCTTCTCTCCCCCACTAGCCTCGGCGACTGCACCTTCGAGCAGATCGTCAACGCGGTGCAGAACCACTTCGCACCCAAGCCCACCGAGCTGACTTGCCGGGTAACATTCTACACCCGCAACCAACTGGGCAGAGAGACCGCCGCAGAATTTCTCGCTGAGTTGCGCCAGCTCGCGGCCGATTGCAACTTCGGGACACACCTGGACGATGCCCTCCGTGACCACTTCGTCGTGGGTCTGCGAGAGGAGAAGCTCCGTCGGAAGCTGATGGAGAAGGAAAAGGTCACCCTGAAGGAGGCCCTCGCCGCCGCAGTCGCGTGGGAAAGGTTGCACTCCGCCCCATCGGCAGCCCTCCAGGTCGAGCCGGGTCCAGCAGGAAGGCATCTTGGCCTGTTCCTGAATAATCCACTGGATCCCTTTCCTTTTTGGCTCCCCTCTTCCCGCTCCTCTATTGTTTCCACCTTTCCACCCACCTCAGCTGCTTTTCAGCCTCCGCTTCCCTTGATCTCGAGGCCGGGCTTCCCTTTCTGCCCCACTTCCCTCTTCGGGCCGCCTTTGGTAGGGTCCAGGGCTCCCTCTAAGCCGTGGGGTCCTGTGAGCAAAAATTCTACGTTCCCCGAGCTAAGACAAAAATGTGTGAGCCAGAGGCCCTAGTTAGGATTCGACTACAAACGTAGTCTAATGTAAACCGCTCTGAGACCCATTAGGCGTCATGGGTGGTATAGAAATCACATGTAAATAAATAAAGAACTGTGAGCTAGCTCACGGTGTTATGTATTGAGCCTGAACTGTACTTAGCTTAGAGGGAACATTGGTAGGGTCGTCTCTCCGGCCAGTTTGTTTCTTCTTCCTCCTCGCCCCAATGCCTTCCGTTTTTTCCTCCCTCTTTCTTTCTTTCTTTCTTTCTTTCTTTCTTTCTTTCTTTCTTTCTTTCTTTCTTTCTTTGGCTTGGTGTTCTTTTTCTCTTATCTGATCTTAAAGCTCCCTCTTTTTCTGTCTCACTCTTGTCTTCGGCACATTCCCCACATCCCAGCTCCCCCCCCACACACACACTTACTGCGGGGCTCTTTTCTCCTCCTCCTCTCGTGTTTTGTGCTCCCTGGACTCTTCTGGGTCTCCTGCTGTTTTGCTCTCGCCCTTTTTCGTGCTCCTCCCCGTCTCCCCCTGAACCTCCAGATTTGCCGTGAAGTTTTGGAATACTGCGGTTCCCTCCCTCGTCTTCCCACTGCCCCGTTCGCCTGGGGCCTCCTCTCCTCCGGGACCAACAATCGTTCCTTTTTTGATAGCTTTGAAGGCATACTTGGGAGGCTCTTGCTCCTCTGCTAAAGGGGGTCAGCAGGTTTTGCTGCCGCTCGAAAAGCCTGCAAGACCTGTATGGCTAGAGGTGACAGCGGGGCCAAAAAAGAAAGAAAGGATTGTTGTCTAAGGCTTTCACGGCCGGAGTCCATTCGTTGTTGTAGATTTTCCGGGCTGTACGGCCATACAGCTCGGAAAATCTACAACAACGAAAGAAAGGATTCTTTGCACCCATGGTGCCTGTTTTCCAGGGATTTGGGGGCAGGAGATTTTCAGATAATTTCTTCCCCCCACCAGAGAAGTGGAGGCAGTTGGGAAGAGGGATTGTGACCCCAGCGCGTACGCCTTTGCACCGTTTTCAGTCCTATTCCGCTGGCTTTGCAGGCTGCTAATGTGTTCTATAAATTTCCCCAAATGATATCGATACTAGCAAGCACCATGCGAAGAGATGCGTCTCTGCAGTGGCCCCCTCCGAGAAGCGGTTCTCTCTCTGCCGCTTGCTCTCTTTGCCAGGCGGGGGGACGGGGACTCTGTCCAAACCTGCCCCCCCACCCTCTACGCCTGCCCTGACTCGCCTCTCTGCAGGGCATCTTCCCACTGGTGGACCTCCTGATGGCACTGGTATTTCTGGCCCCTGTGTGACAGAGTGTTGGACTGGAGGGGCCTTTGGCCTGATCCAACATTGGCATCTCTTATGTTCTTATGTTCTTATGTTCTTATTTCCCTTTGTCACGTAGATGGGAGGTTTTGTGCCAATGGGTGACGAGGCAATTCTGCAGGATCATTCATAAGAACAGAAGCCAGTGCTGGATCAGGCCAATGGCCCCTCCAGTCCAACACTGTCACACAGTGGCCAAAAGTACCAGGGGCCTTTCCTCATAAGACTTGGACTCCAACCCTCTCACCGCCCTGGTGAGAGCACCCCTTGCCCCAGAGTCCCTGTCTATACCTTGTGGCTAATAGCCACTGATGGGCCTCTGCTCCCTATGTGTCTCCAATTCCCTCTTGGAGCCGCCCATGCTTGTAGCTGCCACCACCTCCTGTGGCTCTAGTGGGGGCTTCTTCTGGGGGAGCCCTGGCACAGCGGTGGCGGTAAGGGGAGGCTAGGGGCCCGGTCCGAGAGGCAGCACACTGCAGCAGTGGCACTCGTGGACGGCTGGACTGGAATCTGGGAGTCCCAAGATCAAATCCCCGCTTCCCATGAAATTCAGAGAGTAGCCTCCTTGGGCCGATCCTTCTTTCTCCGTCTACTGTATCCTCACAACAACAACTCTGTGAGGTTGAATGGAGGAGGGGGAAACACAGGAGAGACGGTATTGAAATGTGCGCCCCTTTCCCCCTTTTTTTTTTGCTGTCTAGTCATCATAGCTGAGTTCCAGCCGCTCCAGGGGGTTTTCCAGGCAAGGGGCGGACAGAGGTGGTGTGTCATTGCCTGCCTCTGCGTAGCAACCCTGGACTTGTTGGGTGGTCTCCCGTCCGAGTACCGACCAGGGCTGATCCTGTTGAGCATCTGAGATCGGTGAAGATCGGGCTAGCCTGGGCCATCCGGGTCAGGATAATAATAATCGTGTCCCGTCACGTTGCAGTTAACCTCTAGCGACCCTGTAGGGTTGCCAACGCAAGAGACATTCAGAGTTGGTTTGCCATGGCCTGCCTCTTTGGCGTCGTGGTTAAGTGCGCGGACTCTAATCTGGGAGAACCGGGTTTGATTCCCCACTCCTCCACTCACAGCTGCTGGATGACCTTGGGCAAGCCGTAGTCCTGTCAGAGCTGTTGTTGAAAAAGAGCCGTTTCTGTCAGAGCTCTCTCAGCCCTGCCTACCTCACAGGGTGTCTGTTGTGGGGAGGGGAAGGGAAAGGAGTTTCTAAGCCGCTCTGAGACTCCTTCGGGTAGAGAAGGGCGGGGTATAAATCCAACCCCCTTCTAGGAGCCAGTTTGGTATAGTGGTTAAGTGCGCGGACTCTAATCTGGGAGAGCCGGGTTTGATTCCCCACTCCTCCACTCACAGCTGCTGGATGACCTTGGGCAAGCCGTAGTCCTGTCAGAGCTGTTCTTGAAAGGGCAGTTCTTGAAAGAGCTCTCTCAGCCCCACCGACCTCACAGGGTGTCTGTGGTGGGGAGGGGAAGGGAAAGGAGGTTGTGAGCCACTCTGAGATTCCGAGTGAAGGGTGGGGTATAGATCCAATATCCTCCTCCTCTTCTTCTTCTCCTCTGCATGGTGATCCCGCATTTCCTTGGTGGTCTCTCATCGAAGGACTCACCAGGGCTGTTCCTGCTCAGCTTCTGAGATCTGATGAGATCGGGCTCGCCTGCGCCATCCATCTCAGGGTGCGGAACAAACAAGGTGGTGTTTGCCATTGCCTGCCTCCGGGGTGACCCTAGGCTTCCTTGTTAGTCTTCCATCAGAGTAGAGACCCAGTTTGGTGTGGTGGTTAAGTGCGTGGACTCTAATCTGGGAGAACCAGGTTTGATTCCCCACGCCTCCATTTGCACCTGCTGATGTGACCTCTGGCACAGCTGTCCTTGGAAAAGAGCCGTTTCTGTCAAGAGCTCTCTCAGCCCCGCCTACCTCACAGGGTGTCTTCTGTGGGGAGGGGAAGGGAAAGGAGTTTGTAAGCCGCTCTGAGACTCCAAGTGAAGGGCGGGGTATAAATCCAATCTCTTCTTCTTCTTCTACTAACTACTCTAAAAAGAAAAGAAAGGGAAAAAAATTGATTAAGGAACGTTTTTTTTTTTCACATGATGAATAAAATATTTTAATATTTAACATGATGAATAAAATATTTTAATTTTAATATTTAAAATATTTTCCAAATCATTTCTAAAAAAATACGCATGGTATCAGATTGGTCTAATTTCTGTGCACTGAGGACAAGGAAGTCCTAGGCAAGAAACTGAACTCTCCAATGCAAGAACAAGATGCATTTCTTCCTTTAGGAGGTGCTGTTGTCACAAGAAAAGAAAAAGGCTTCCGTTTTGTGTTTTTTGCATGTGGGTGGGTATTCTGTTCGTAATAATTGTTTGGATACACTAACTTTTTAATAGGCTAGTTGTGATAATTTCATGCCAAGTAAAAATGTCCATAGTCATATTTTATGTTCCTAAAGCAACAGAATGACTTTCAATCTGGAAAAGAAAAAAAGAAGTGCTAATGTAGCATTTTTTCCCAATTTTTCTGAAAATTTCCGTTTTCCCCCGGAAAACCCCCCAGGTTTTTTCCCAAGCTTCAAAATTTCCGGAAATTTTGCATTTCTACTCTGCTTAGCGGCTGAGTTAGCCTGGGCCACCCAGGTTGGGACAAAAGAAATGACCCGTGTCTGTTGGGAAGTGCCGCAGCCAACTTAGGGCGACCCCGTAGGGATTTCAGGGCAAGAGGCGTCCAGAATTGGTTTGCCATGGCCGGCCTCTCTGGGTAGCAACCCTGGACTCCTTTGGTGGCCTCCCCTCCAAGGGCTAACCAGGGCCCAGCCTGCTTTAGTCCCTGAGATGTGATGAGATCGGGCCAGCCGGGGTTATCCAGGTCAGGGCTGCTTATCATTTCAAATGTGGTCCACTCGCATGCACACGGGCTGTTGCATCCTTGACTGTGGGGTGAGGAACAGAAAGGAAACTAATCCCAGAGTGATGTCCACCTACTTGGAACTCATTCACACCGAAACGAATCTATAAGAACATAAGAGAGACGCCAATGTTGGATCAGGCCAAAGGCCCACCCAGTCCAGCACTCTTCTGTGTCACACAGTGGCCAAAAATACCAGGTGCCCTCGGGAGATCCAGCAGTGGTCTCCTTTCTATTAATAATGGGGGCGAATAACATAATAGGCTGTAGGAAAATAAGATTAATATTTTGTATTATTGTTTGCTATAGAAATTAATAAACTGACTAATACAAAAAGGTCCACCAGCAGGGCCAGGACATTCCCCTCCCACTGTTGACCCCCCCCCCCAGCACCAAGAGGGTCCTGGCCACAGATCTCTCCTCTCTCACGCCGCTGGGCCCTGGCTGGAGGTCTGGGGTCTCGGGGTGCGTGCGTGAGGCGCTTCTGCTGGGTGTTTGTGGCTGATTCCGCTCTTCTCTCTCTCCCTCCTCAGCTGTCCAGCGGGGCCGCCTGGCGCACGCTCAGCCCGGCCCCGGCCAGTACCCCTTGGCCAACGGAGACCCCTATGGCTGCCCCTCCTACCTGACCGGCTTCATCTCGCTGCTGCTGCGGGCGGAGCCCTACCCGGCCTCGCGCTACGGGCCCCAGTGCCTCCAGGCGGGGAACATCATGGGCATCGAGAGCATCTGTGAGATGGCGGCCCGCCTGCTCTTCAGCGCCATCGAGTGGGCCAAGAACATCCCCTTCTTCCCGGACTTCCAGCTGGCCGACCAGGTCTGCCTCCTGCGCATGACGTGGAGCGAGCTCTTCGTCCTCAACGCCGCCCAGTGCGCCATGCCCCTCCACGTGGCACCCCTCCTGGCCGCCGCCGGCCTCCACGCCTCGCCCATGTCCGCCGAGCGCGTGGTGGCTTTCATGGACCACATCCGCGTCTTCCAGGAGCAGGTGGAGAAGCTGAAGGCGCTGCACGTGGACGCGGCGGAGTACGCCTGCCTCAAGGCCCTGGCGCTCTTCACCCCGGGTGAGTACGTGGGCGTGGCGTGGGGCAAACCCTGCGGCCCAGGCCCAAGGTCGGGATTTGCAAGGGACAAGCGGGAAGCAGGGAGAAGGCGGAGAGGAGCAAGAAAGGACCGGGGTTGCTCTCCAGGTGACAGATCAGTTCACCTGGGGAAAATGACTCCTTTGGAGGGTGGACTCTGTGGCATTGTAGCCCCTCCCCTCCCCACCCACCTCAGGCTCAACCCTCAAATCTCCAGGAATTCCCCAACCTAGAGTTGGCAGCTCCAGGAAAGGGTAGAGGGAAGACCTGGCCCTGGGAGCTGCTGTTTATGTGGCCGGGCAGAGGATCATGGGAAGGAAAGAGCTGCCGGGAGAGTCTGACCCACAAATAAAGCAGTCAACAAGACTTGCCAAAAAAAAAAAAATGCTTACTTTACAATCTGAAGCACTACAACACAATAAATCAATTCCTACAAATCAAAAGAAAATCCTAGTGCAAAGGTACATCATCAACGTCGTCTCCGGATTATATAACAACGTTTCAAAACTGGATCTTCCTCAGGGAATGTTGGAGTGATACAAAAGTTCTCTTGTTCATAAAGTGTTTTACAACAAGTCATGAAAGATAATACATTTACTGAGATCAGCATCCTATCCGAATGTATTATCTTTCATGACTTGTTTTAAAGCACTTTATGAACAAGAGAAGTTTTGTACGACTCCAACATTTCCTGAGGAAGATCCAGTTTTGAAATGTTGTTATATAATCCGGAGACGACGTTGATGATGTACCTTTGCACTAGGGTTTTCTTATTAATTGTAGGAATTGATTGATTGTGTTGCAGTGCTTCAGACTGTAAGGTCAGCATTATCTTTGCAAGTCTTGTTGACTTGCTTGATTTGTGGGTCAGACTCTCACAAGGGTTCTCTTTAGACTTGTTATCTGATTAGGTCGTGCTTGTCCACATTTGTCTTGCAAGGAAAGAGCTGCAACAGAATGAGGGGGGGCGCATTTTGCAGGCCCTTTTTGCTGCTGAGGAACCCCCCCTCTTTATTCTCTAAGTGACTTGAAAAGAGGCAAAAGTATTTGCAGGGTAGCAGAGGCAGCACCGTTCTTCCCGGTGACCCCCCCCCCTTCTGGTGCTTGAATGTGTGCTTGAACGTGTGAAGCTGCCTGCCACTGAATTGGAAAATAAGTATAAAGGCAACAGTCGTGAGAGTCTGACCCACAGATCAAGCCAGTCACCAAGACTCGCAAAGAAAAAGCTTCCTGTGTATTATAATCTAAAGTACCACAACATCATTAATAAATCATAAAAAAATCCTTGTGCATCGGGACATCATCAACGCCGTCTCCGGATTATATAACAGCGTTTCAAAATTGGATCTTCCTCAGGAGATATTCTGTAGTGTACAAAAATACAATTCTTTAGAGTACATACTATGTAAACAATAGAAAACAGTATAAAATCGTGGCACAGTCTTACTTACAGAGTAGTACAAAAGCTCTCTGTATTCATGAAGTGCTTGACAACAAGTCATAAGGAATCTGTAATGTAATAATGCTCCTCTTGTTATGAAAAAATATAAGGTATTTTAAGTTACAGAGCATTTTAAAAATTAAGCCGACCTAGTAGTAACTTACACTACATTCAGGTAGGACGCTGATCTCAATAAACGTTCAGGCTCAAATATGCTGCTAAGCTTCTAAATGGATCCCGGGAGTCTTCCTCTAGTGATTCCTAAAAGGTAAAGGTAAAGGTTTCCCTTGCTCGAAAGCCAGTCGAATCTGACTCTAGGGTTGCGGTGCTCATCTCCGTTTCAAAGCCGAAGAGCCAGCGCTGTCCGAAGACGTTTCCGTGGTCATGTGGCCGGCATGACTAAACACCAAGGCGCACGGAACTCTGTTCCCTTCCCACTGAAGTGGTCCCTATTTATCTACTTGCAAATTCTTGCTTTCGGACTGCTAGATTGGCAGGAGCTGGAACTAGAGACGGGAGCTCACTCCGTCATGCGGCACCCGGGTCTTGAACTGCTGAACTACAGACCTTCCACAGCCGGCAGTTCAGCGTCTTCACCACTCGAGCCACCGCAGCTCCCTAGTGATTCCTAGCAAAGCGTCATTAAGGGGACCTTGCAGATTGCTAACAGGTGATAAGAGGCAGTAGAAGGTCAGTCTTGTGTAGACAGACTGGCAGTGGTTCTCCAGGGTCTCAGGCGGAGGTCTTTCCCGTCACGGGGATGGAACCTGGGTCCTTCTGCATGCCAAGCTATGATGGGAAACTGTTGCTGTCCTCGGCCGAAATCCTGGCAGAACATCTCTGCCTTACAGGCAGTGCCGGAATTGCATTAAGTCCCGCAGGGCCAAATCGGGAGCTGTTAGAGAGTCCCACCAGGTCGGATCCAGGGCCGAGAAAGCCCTGGCTCTGGTCGAGGACAGCCGGATGTCTTTAGGGCCAGGGAATCATCAGCAAATTGCTCTCAGCTGAGCGTAACGCTCTCCCAGGGACATCTGGTTTTCTGTGTGGTGTCGTGTTGTCCTTGCATCAAGTAAGTTCCACTTTGGCAGAAGGGCGGGATAAAAGCCAAATAAATAAATAAATATGTGATCCCTGATTGGCTGGGGTTGCTTTCCGACAACAAGGGCTTAAGAAATAGTTGCCCCACCAAGGCCACTGCTGATTGGGCAACAAAGAAGCTATAAAAGAGCTGAAAGGGAGCAGAGGGAATGTAAGGGAGGTCTGCCCCCCCCCTGCCAAAAACCCTACACTCACGTCAAAGCTATTTCCGTGCAAATGTGTGTGGAGGGCTTGATGCCTTCACATTAGATATTTTCACCTCTCTCTGGTTCAGCGTCTAGTGTTTTGCATTTGGGTGGGGGCCAGTCCGGTTGCCTAAAATCACCCCTGAGCAACTCCAGAAAGGGGCAGGGCAGGAAAAGAAGTAGAGTCTTGGCACCGTCTCGAGTGCCTAACGAATTCAGCCAAAACATGAATATTCTGTGCAGGAACTGAGTCGAGGCAGTTCCCTTTCGGAGATGCTTGCGGTAACTCTGGAGAAGACTTGCACGACCTGGAACCCAGCCTGGATCTCTGGCACCCTTCTCCAGTCAGACCACACCCCAGATATATTTCTTTTGACGCATGCACACACATGGGGATGCGTACACACCAATGCTCCCTCTAAGCTGTGGAGTCCTGTGGGCAAAAATTCTACTTTGTGAGCTACTGGCATTAAATTTGTGAGCGAGCGATTTCGCTGCTGCATAAATTAGTTTGCTCCGGAGCCATCCTTGGTGTCGTGGTTAAGTGCGTGGACTCTAATCTGGGAGAACCGGATTTGATTCCCCATTCCTCCACATGCAGCTGCTGGTGTGACCTTGGGTCAGTTACAAGTTCTCTCAGAGCTATTCTCTCAGGGGCAGTTCTTGAAAGAGCTCTCTCAGCCCCACCGACCTCACAGGGTGTCTACTGTGGGGAGGGGAAGGGAAAGGAGTTTGGAAGCCGCTCTGAGACTCCGAGTGAAGGGTGCATGGTATAAATCCAGTCTCCTCTTCCTCCTATTTTAACTAGCTATATCAGGGGTGTCGAACTCATTTGTTATGAGGGCCAGATCTAAATGAGACCTTGTTGGGCTGGGCCATGTGTGTCATAAAATGTAATACCAGGTAGCGGAGATATAAACTTTACACAAAGGGGTTTTTTTTACTTAAAATAAAAACATGCTTAAAACATTAGCACTCTTGCAATATTTCATTTATTTAACAGTGTCTGATAACTGACACCTCTTGCTTTGAATTACTGCGTCAAAATGTCTGTGCTGTTGCAATCTTGAGCAATGCCCCCTCCAAGCTGTGGAGAGTCTTGTGAGCAAAAGTTCTACTTTGTGAGCTACTGGCATTAAAGTTAGGGTTAGCGAGCGATTTGGCTGCTGCACAAATTAGCTTCCTCTGGAGCCGTCCCTTCCTGAGCTAAGGCAAAGATGGGTGAGCCGGGGGCTAAAAAACTGTGAGCTAGCTCACACTGACTCCACTCAGAGGGAACACTGCTCCAATGCTCCCGCTAAGCTGGGGAGTCTTGTGAGCAAAAGTTCTGCTTTGTGAGCTTCTGGCATTAAAGTTGTGAATGAGCGATTTGGCTGCTGCATATCTTGGTTTGCTCTGGAGCCCTCCTTCCCGAGCCAAGACAAAAATGTGTGAGCTGGAGGCTAAAACACCTTGAGCTAGCTCGCACTAAGTCAGCTTAGAGGGAACACTGGCCGGGGCTCTCCTGGGGACCTCGGCTGTTCAGCCCACAGCGTATTTCATAACAGCAGGCTTGGAAATATTTACTGAGTGCATCTCTAGGCTCCTTTCCGCCCAGACGTCCCCAGGGCTGAGTATAAGAGATTAAAGCACAATTCATTATAAGACTAACAAAATATGTGGCAGGGGAGGAGCTGTTGTGAGTCACCGCTCACCTCTTCAGATGCAGCTAGAATGGGAGTCCGTCCTATTTATTGGAAAGCAGATGTTGAATGACAGTAGCAGGCATGGTTGGATTAGGTGTGATATGCAGAGGGGTAATAGGCGTGGAGAAATCAGCATTGGTAATGAGACAGGAAACCTGGGTCTCGATTCAGTCCAGGTAGCTGCATTGTCTTGAGCATCATTATCAGTTTCAGTTCACCCTCTTGATCTACGTTCATGGCTTTTGTTTTGTTTTGCTGAGAATCGGGGCTGACCGCTCCCTCAAGCGTAAAGCTTCTTTGAGACCTACCTGGTTGGGTTCTACCCTTTTATGCCGAGAACTTATTTATGTGTCATCCCCCACGCTGGTTTTGGAAATCCTGCGCAAAAAGGTCATATTGGCCTCAGTTGGAATCTGCTTGTTTTCCTCTGTAATTTCAATGCATATCTGTCCTTGGGATGTGGCGGTTGATAGGTGGGTTCTTTTGTAAGATTCACGATCCTTGTTTCATACATTTCGGAGTCCCCGGTGGCTTCTCTTGGGAAATTGTCCCCTTGATTTTTCTCCACCAGAC